GGGGGGGGGCGAGCACAGCCGCGTGCCAGCCCCGCAGCAAAAATAACTCCCCAATTATTTATTTTTTTTTTTTCCAACTTCCAGCCTTGAAATGAGCTAATTTGCCGGGGCCCGAGGCGGCTCGCATTCCTCCGGCATCTTTAGCATCGGCACCATATTTGGCAGTCAGCCCCCCGCACAGCCGAGCTCTTATCCAGAGGGATTAGCGGAGCCAAAAAAAAAAGTTTTACATTGAAAATGAAGGCAAGAAAGAAAAACAAACTAAAACCCGGGGAGGAACTGGAGAACCGGCTCCACGCAGTTCTCCCCGTGCCTGTTTTTTGGGAGGTTAACTCCACAGAGGTAGGAGGGAGCTGCTAAAGGAAAGCGAAATTTGCTTTTTCTTTTGCAGCTTTAGCTGGGATTTTTCCTACTGAAGAAACAGGAGAGGCTGGGAAAGGCGGCTCTCGCTGACTCCTATCTAAGGCTTTAATCCTTAGGGTTCAAACCCTCCCGGACGGCCCTGGGAAAGGCGAGAGGGGTGCAGCTCCCCCCCCTGCCCCTGGGAGGGAGGGTGCAGATGAGAAGCAGCCGATGGGGATCGGCTGGAGGGATGGGGATGCGGTGGGGCCAGCCGGCACGGGAGATGCACCTCCCCGGGACAGAACAATTTGGAGACTATCCGGGGACGGAGAAGTGAGGGGAGAAAGATCCCGAAAAAAATGGAGCGGCCGGGCGCACTCACGTTCAGCGCGTTCTTCGCCGCCTCCGCCTGCTGTCGAAGCTGACGAAGCCCACGGGCTGCGGAGGAAGGAGAGGAGGCACCATCAATCAGGCTGGCGGGGAGCGGAGAGGGGACCCCCACACACACACGCCCCCCCCGTCCCGGGGACCAGCGGTGCCGGGGGAGGGTGGGAGCATGGCGTGGGATGCTTGCCCTGTTTTGAGCGGCTCCTACCTGCTTGGAGGTGAGTTTGATGAGAGACCCTTCGTAACCCTGGAAGAAAAGAATAAAAAAAGGTGTTTGATGGAGATCCCCACGATTCAGCTGCCCCTTGGAGAGGGAAACCGCCCGCATCCATCACCCGGCAGCCCTACGGCTGGGGGGGGGGCATCAGGCGGGCACCACAGGGGGGAGTTTGCCAAGGCTCAGCACTGGCGCGGGGACTCGCTGCCACTGGATTTTTGTAGGGATGCTGGATGCCTGATAATATTATCCTTCGCGTTTGAAAAAAGCCCGTCTCTGAGCTGCAGGTCTGGCAGGGTGAAGAGACTGGAGAGGTTTGCAGCCAACGCTCTTCTGCTGCTAAATGCGGTGCAAGTCAACGTGCGATTAAAACCCCGGTGCAATCAAAGCACCCGATGCCATTTTCCTATGGTTTATTGGGGGAAAAAGGCGCAGAAACTTCTTTCTGTGGCTAAAATGACCGAATTAGACTTTTTTGGGGGGAAACCACCGGGCTCCCAGAGCCCACCAAGGTTGGTGGGGCCATGGGGATGGGGCAGGGGGCCAGCCCCACGCTTCCAGCCCTGCCTCTCCCCTCCCCAGTCTGGTACCTTAAAGGGCCTGAAGAGCAGGTAAAGTTCCCGGGGCTTGATGTCCAGAGGCAACCCGCTGACAAAGAGTGTCCTCACCTAGAAAAGAAGAAAGGAGGTTCCTGGGGACCGTCCCTCATCCCTAACTTGGGGATACCCCACACCTCCCGCAGCCTTAGGTGGTGGCATGCCAGAGGGACGGTGCCAGCCCGAGGGGAACCTCGTGGGCAGCCGAAAGCCTTAAGCCGCACTTGGGGGATGTGGCGTTTTTGGGAGGGGCGTCCCCATCCTTCGGGTGACCGCAGAGCAAGCTGCTGAGACACCACGGAAAGGTAACCAAGACCCGTCCTCACCGCACCGAGTGCTCTCCGGGTCGAAAAGGCTGGCAGCATCCCAGTGCCTTCCTACCCCGGGGTCTGGGTCTGGCAGACAGGGTCTCTCCTGGCATCCCCAGCAGAGCCCTTACTCTGCAGACAATGCCTATTGTCTCTGTTTAATTGCAGCAGCTCATTAAGGACCGGGAGAAGCAAACCCCAACTCTTCCTCCTGAAGGAATGGCCCTGTTTTGGAGGGGGCTGGTTTTAAGCAGCCTGTCCCTGATTTATAAGTCACCTTTTAAGGGGTTTTAACTCTTTTTGGGTGGATCTAATGTTTGCCGTGGTGCAGCATCCTCAAAGCCGGGGTGGCTCACAGAAACCCTCCTTCCACCGACCCCAAGGGGGGATATGGGGCTCCTCGGGGACGGGCAAACCCCGCCCGGGCCAGACCCGGGCTGGGATGGTTTTGCTTTACAACCAGCTCGTAACTGGGGGAGCGGTGTGGGGCAGGAGAGCGACAGCTGGATCCGCTGCCGGTCCCTCGCTCCTCATCCCCAAAAATCTCATCCAACACTTTGGTTGATGGCCAGGGGCCCGCGGGAGCCTGGGGCTGACGATGGCCCCAACCGGCCCCACCTGACACCCCCCCCACACACACACACCCTTGCACCCTGCCCACGGCCCCGGGGGCTGTATTTAGGCTCAGACCTCACTGAGTGGGGGGAGCTGCCGGCTTGGGTCTCAGCCCTGCTGCGTCCCCGTGGGTGGGTCTGACCCTGGCTGCCATCACCCACCAGCTCTGCTCTTGCTGGGGCAGCCGGGGACGCTGCCCATGTCGGCGGGGTCCCTGCCTTGCCGTCCCCCTCGGCGCCGGGCTTGCTTGCGAGCCAGCCCCGCTCCTGCTGCTCCCGTAGCATCTTACCTAGAGGTAATCTGGAGGATTTGACGGCTGTAGCTTATTTTTTAAGGCACCCAAATGCCTTGTGAGAGCCGCTCCGGAGGGGCTAGACCAAGGTCACCCTCCCCGGTTGCCAAGCTGCCAGATTTGGGCTGGAGGAGGGGAAAACCTTGATTTTTAATTTATTTCATTTTTCCGCCAGGCACCCTGCCCGCCCCATTCCCTGGGACAGAGACATGCGAAACGGCCGGCAACAGCCAGCCCAGGCCTATTCTTCTGCTGACATTTCTTCTTTCTCTTGCAGATAAGCTATCTACCCCATCTCTCAGCCTGGGAGCAGCAAACATTCCTGCTTTGTGTAACAAAACCTCTGGCTGACCTGTATCTATTAAATAACAAAAGGTACTCGGGGCCGTTTGCATATAGCCCTTGTGTCAACAGCCCCGGTGATACCCATCGCCGCTGGTACCCGTTGCTGGGTGCACGGGGGGCTGCCAGAAAACAAGCCAGGCATGAAAGTACAGTCATCCGGGCGCTTGACTCCTCTTGGAAAGCAAGCCCTGCTCTGGCCGGGAAAGGATGCTCAGGGCCTTGCCCAGAGGGATGCTGAGAGCTCCAGGCTGGATGGGATCAGCACGGGCACGTCCTCACCCCTTGCTGAGCCAGGGCTGCGGTTAGGCACAGCCCGGTAGCCTGTCCCCTCTACTGGGACCATCCACGGTGGGCTGGAAGCCCCCCCCGCAAGGCGCCTTGGGGGACCCCTGTCAGCTTTCTGCCTGTCTTCTGAGATCAGAGGGTGACGGAGCATCCCGAGGCGTTCAGTGCTGCACCGTCTCCCGATGGAGACGCTGCCCGAATTTCTCCCGGCAGGGGCTGGGGAGGGATTCATCTGGAGGAGCTCCCCTTGTGTCCATGAAATTCAATGTAAAGAAGGCAAATTTATCCTTTCCTAGGGAAAAAAAATATTCCCCTTCAGACAGGTCCGCCTGAGCGTGGCTGCTATCCAGGGAATCGGCTCGCCGGACACATCCACCCTCCCAGCTGGGTTTGCCTCCCGAGGAGGCTGAGCATCCCTGCACGGTCGTCCGTCCCCCACCCCGTCGCCATCATCCCTCGAGCCTCCGGTCCTCCCCGGCACGCTGGCTTCCCGCCTCTCCTCTCCCCGGGGAGCCGCGTGAAACACCAGAGGCGTCAGGGGCGGCTCCGAGGGAGAACCCGCTGCCAATTTGCCGCGTCCCTGAAATCCAAACCCCTACGAGCCCGGCTCGCCAGATCATTTAGCCCCATAGCTGCGTGGCAGAGAGATGGGAGAGATAAAAGACCCTGAAAAACCCTCCGAAACTCAGCCTCGCGAAGGAAGGGCTTCTCTTCGGTAATGACTTGTTTTCTTTGAAAGTTCAAACGCGGGTCGGCCAAGTTTTAAACCGTAAAATTATACAGCGGCGAGCGGGAGAGGGAGGTCTCCGAAGGATCCCCCAGCTGGTTTCCAGCCCCAAAAGGATGTTTGGGGGCCAGGGGGAAGGGAGGAGATACGAGGTCATGGGTGCTCCCCCATCTGCACCCCGCAAAAGGGTGCCGGGGGGGGGCCTGCCGCACCCAGTCGAAGGGATGTTTGAGTAGGTCCTACGTAAACAGGATCCTTTCGCTGGGCTGGGTAACAAGCAGGTGGGAGGGTTTGGGCTGCGTTAAAACGAGGTGGGACCGGCAGGGAAAGGGAATGTCTTCGGGGATAATTCCCAGCGGGCTGGACGGATATCCTTCTGCCAAGGGAAAGATTTTAGGCGGAAATATTACTCCTGCCCTTAAATGGAAGAGGAGCTTCAGCCCGCAGGGAGCTGCTCCAGGCTTTCCTGTGCCGAGAGATCCCAGGGGCTCAGCCTCCATCCTCTACCAAAAATGCTCCCAGGGCAAAATCCTGCCCTTGACGCGGGGGGGGGGGGGGGGGAAAAAAGCCTCATCAGAGAAATCCCCGGCCGGCAGGCAGGTATATGCTCTTCCATAGGGAAAAATGACCCCTTCTCGGAGGTGGATCGGGCGAGACGCGTGCTCCCAAGTGTCTTGTGGGACGGGGCCAGACCTACAGCTCCCAGGCGAGGATTAGCGGAGGGCGCTCGAGCATGGCAGTGGGATTCCCGCAGCCCAAACACCCCTGGTTTAGGACAGCCCGAACCGTTTCGTTTCAATTCTGCTGCGCAGACATTTTTCAGAGTTTCTTCCTGGTGGAGCATTTCTCCATCTCTCCTTCTTGTTACAATGTGGGGTGAAACCAAAGGTTTCTTCCAGGTCAGAAGTGCCGATGTTTGCTCCGGGAAGCCGCTGGCCACGGGTGCAGGACCTCGCAGGTGATTTACTTCAGCAGGGGTGACAGCTATGGGACCGCACGAAGAGCGCACAAAGTCCCCTTTCCACAGTCCTCTGCTCCTGCCGCTGCGCCCCACAGCTCCCAGATTTGCCAGGGCCACTGGATCCAACCTCTGCCACCTCGCTGCTGGTTTGTCCCCTCCTGGCTTTTATTGTCCCTGCAGAAAGTCCTCTCCTAGCCTCTGCTACTCTCCTCTCCCCAGGAAGCCATCTCCATCCCACTTCTGGTCCATCCCTCTCACCTCTGCGTCCCACCATCACCTTCTGCTATCCCCGAAATACCACGTCCCGTCTGGGGCCGGTTTAAGGGACGCTGGAGAGGGTCTGGGGTGGGGGTTGCTGAGACGGTCGGGGCTGGGGACACGCAAGGAGAGGTGGGGACCTGGGCCAAGAGGTGGCTGGGGTCTTCAGACCATGGCGCAAGGAAGGCCCCAGCATGGAGAGGTCCATGGCGAAGCGCCGGCAGCCCTCCTCCTCCTCTTCCTCACATGAAGCCACAAGCCAGGTTTGCCTCCCGATGGTAAGCAGGCACCAGGGAGGCATTTGCCTCCTTGCCTGCCTTGGACCCCCATCAGATGCTGGGTGCCCCGGGGGATGCCGGGTGCCCCGCTGGCACGGTCACGCTCCCCTGCCCCTGCACAAACCACCCCCCGGTAAACGTTAACAGGCCGGGGGCCGGAGGGGAGAGGCGGAAGGCGACCGGGTGATTCATTCACGAGGCATTTAATCGCCTCCTTCAACCCCAGCTCCCCGTCCGCCACCTTTCAGCGGGGGCTCGCTTTAATTCTCTACCAGCCGATTAGCCGCTTGACTGCCCGCCGCTGGGGAGGCACCGCCGGGCAGCCGG